GTTGCAGCAGCCACAGCTTCCCGATGCACCAGCCATAAAGCTTGCCTGCAGGGGGCACTGGGCTGGGCTCTAAAGCAGCCTTCCCCAAAGCCTAACTTAAAGTAACCAGAACTGGAGGGAATGGGGAGCCCCAAGGCTACCCACTCCTATGGGATTCCTGCCCAGACTTATGCCTGGGCATGGGGGCTCGCAGGGGGTGCTGGGAAGGTGTGAGGATACGGGGCAGTGTGGAGATGCTAGCAGACAGTTATGGGCCTTTAATGATGGTGGGCGCATGCATGAGGAGCCCTTGTAGTAGCTGCCCTTTGAAGGTGTATGCATGCAAAGGGGCCCTTACAATGCCTGCGCCTTGCCAGTTGCAGGGTGGAGTCCTGGGCCTGCTGGTGGGGGTGGGGTGGGGTGTCAACTGGCTAAATTCACTCCCCCTGTGCAGCACTCACCTGGAGTGCTATCCAACAGGCACTGAAGCAGCAGCTCCCCCTTCTGTAAGACGCGCTCAGTCAGGAACTGATGCTCATCAATGTTGTTCTTAAATTGCTTAGAGCAAAATACCGGAAAAGAAAAAGGCGTCAGGACTATAGCTTTATAAGAAAAGTTATTCAGGAGCAGCTTCTAGGGAGGCTGCATGGGGTGAGGAGCCCTGCAGGTGCCTGTGTAAACCTTGAAACTTCTTCTAAATCTCATAAAACTCACTTGGATCACCAAAAAAAAAAAAAAAAGTTATTCAAAGTGAACACTGAGCAGCGCAGCTAATTCCCCTCTGTTCTAAAAGATGAACCCCACCGTTCCAGCGACCCTCAATGAAATGGTGCCTCTCTGAGGCAGTCCGGCTCACGGACAGTGGATTCAGGGCTTCTCTTTGGTGCCACAGCCTGCAGGGTACACCTGAACCCCAGAGAGCACACATGCTGTTCTCAGGGGTCTGATAAGACCCCCACCCCAGTGCCTCTGTCTTGGAGCACCCACAGGACAAATTCCTCTTGGGCCTTAGCATCAGGGCAGTCTCCTGAGCGGGCAGCTGATTTGTCTTCTCACAGGTCCCAAACCTGATAGCTGTAGGTTTTTGAAGTTCTTTGAGCTGCTAAGAAGTGCCTCCCAATCCATGGCCCAAGGGATGGAGAACCTATAGTAGTTCCCATTTTGTGGTTGAAATGTTTACTCTTGGGCTATTTTTCAGTCTTCAGTTTTTCTTTGTCCTGACTCTTGGGCTTCTTTTCTTATTCTTTACTACTCTAGTCTACACCACTGTAACCCCACTGTGTAATTAATTAAGATAGAGCACATGAGAAAACGAAGCACAGTTAAGATCCCCGACTATCAGTATATACATAGGCATTTACTTATGCTAAGCAGGAGTCATGACCACACACCCTTTGACCAAAGGAAGAGGATGGAGGCCCACCCTGTAGGAACTGTCCTTCAGCCCAAGTTCTGGCGCAGATGGAAGTCTATAGCTGAGGCGCAGAATGGTATGAAGGGCAAAATGGGGGAGTGGAGCTACTGGCCCTTGATCTTGGGGAAGGGTTATCAAGGTCAGCTCAAGGAGGGTGATTTCTTTCAGAGAGCCTGGCATGAAGACCTCCTGGGGTGCACTGCATGGCCAGAGGGCACACAAACCAAGCATAGGTCCATCCAACCTGCCCCTAGCTCACCCTAGGCAAGGCCTCATCAGGCCTAAGCAGCTTTTCCATTAGGATAGGGCCAGGTGAGGATCCCACCCCACCTCCATCCCCCCAAAATTAGCTGGTGCCCACACATCAACAGCTGGAGACGGGAGGGCAGTCTGCATTATGCCCATAGGGCTCGCAGAGGCCAAAGCCTGGGGCAGTCATAAAGTGGGAGAAATTCAAACAGCTTGCCCAGAAAGCCACAAGCACCTGTGTGCCTTCATGACTCTACTAGAAAAAGCTTAGCTGACCACACATGCTGTTAGCTCGGTAAGGTTAACCTTATACTTAGGGCAGCTATGTAATTTACCACTCTAATACGGGTCCTGAGCCTGAAGGGGGAGCCTATCATCTTTAAACCTCAATGGGTACAACAAACTAGGACACCCTGCTACCTTCCATTCAGAATGGTTGTTATAGGAGCACATTAGCCAGGGCCCGAGATTAGAGAGAGGTGGGGTTTGTTTGTTTTAAAGAACAGGAGCTTAATGAGCCTGAATGGAAACGACAAACCCCTTCAACTAAACTCCCCTGGGCTCTCCAACAGGACTTTTTGTGACCAGGGAATGGTCTACGTCACCAGGGTCCAGAGTGGTGGCCCTGAGACATGTTCTCGGTGGTGTCTGATGCAAAACTGGGGCTACTGTAAGGGAAGAACCTTCAATTTGAGCGAATTTTAGTAAGGTTGAAATAGCCAATGTGGCTGCAACCCTAAGGGCACATGGAGTTGAGTCGTGCTGCTAGCCGCAAAGTCAACAGCACCCACCTGCCTGGCCACTCCCCCGGGGAGAGACGGGGCTGTCTGCTCCCATAGAGTCACAGCCTCAGACGCCCTAGGGAGTGTTCCCTGTCCTGTAAGGTGGCTAAGAGTCAGGATCGGCCCTGAGCCATGGCAGCAGGGTTCCTTTAGACCAGCGGTTCTCAACCAGTGGGTTGTGACCCCTTTGGGGGTCAAACGACCCTTTCACAGGGGTCACCCAATTCATAACAGTAGCAAAATGACGGTGATGAAGTAGCAAGGAAAATAATTTTATGGTTAGGGGTCACCACAACATGAGGAACTGTATGAAAGGGTCGCGGCATCTAGAAGGTTGAGAACCACTGGTTTAGATTGTATCTGGCTTGGCTACTAAATGGACAGTTGTCTCTCCAAACTTAACCAATTCTGAGGCACTGGAAAAATTAAATGGCAATCCACTCAAGTTCTCCCTCGATGCAAGAATACTTTGTTCTATTAAACTGGCATTCCATGATGCTCCCTTTCACGACACAATCGCTGAAGACAAAGTGGGTACATAAGCAAATGTGGTGAAGAAAGCTGATGGAGCCTGGCTATCAAAAGAAATAGTGTCTGGGGTCTTAAAGGCTTGAAGGTGAACAAGCTGCCATCTAGCTTAGAAACAACAAAGCCCACATGGAAGAAGCACACTAGCCTGTGTGATCACAAGGCATTGAAGGAATCAGGCATCAAAGAACAAAAAATTAAATCATTGTGAATGAGGGGCAGTACAGATTGGGGACCCAAGACCCATCTAGGCAACTGGACATCCTTTTACAGAAGGGTCATGGGAGGAGACACGCCAGTCAGGGTGCAGTGTAGCAATGATGAAACATACAACTTTCCTCTAGTTCCTAAATGCTTCCCCACACACACACCATCATGATCCCAATTCTACCTTACAAATCCAGCTAGACCAGACGATGTACACTGGTACAGATAGCAACTGGAAACGGAATCCAGGGCAGATGAACCCCTCAGGACCAGTGGTGGGGGGGGGTGGGGTAGAAAGGAGGAACCAATTATAACCTCTTCCTGGGGGAGGATGGACAACAAAAAGTGGGTGAAGGGAGACATCGGACAGTGTAAAATATGACAAAATAATAATTTATAAATTATAAGGGTTCATGGGGGAGGGGGGGAACTGAGGAGCTGATACCAAGGGCTCAAATAGAAAGCAATTGTTTTGAGAATGATGATGGCAACAAATATACAAATGTGGTTGACACAATGGATGTATGGATTATGATAAGAGTTGTACAAGTCCCCAATAAGATGATTAAAAAAAATTAAACGGCAAATCGGCCTTAAGAAATTTGTGTCTAACTTAGTCGCTGTTGTTTATGAGAGGACAAGCGAGTCACGCACAGGGTTCCAGTTCACATGCACGGGCATGTTCCCAACAACGTGCAGCGACAGACCTCTGAGCCCAGTGGGGCTGCAGACCGTGCCTCTCAAAAGTTGTCTTAGTCTCAAGGAAGATGGACCCTAGCGAAGACCATCTTAGGAGACAAGCTCTCCTCTGGGTTGGATTCACCGCCATGAGCTATGATCAAAATCCAGTCAGAGCAGTGGCTTCCGAGAGGGCTCTGCGGGGGCCACTTTACAAGGCGGCCCAAGTGATTAAGGAGAGTTCTCAGGGGCTCCTAGTTAGGACATGGGGCGGTCATGGAGACTAGCAGGAAGAAGTTTCAAGACAGCGGGAAATGGCATCACTAAAGAAAGAAAGGCCAGGAAAGTGGTGCTGGACTCTTCACCCGTCGGGACAACACACCTGCTCCTTCCCGGGTCACAGAGGCTCCCCTCCGAGGATGTCCTGGGAAATTCCTCAGGAAAACTGTACCCCATGCAACCCACTCCAGCTGGACCATAGCCCCTTGAGACTTTTTCACAATGCAAGTTTCATTCAAAACATTTAAACACACACACACACACACACACACACACACTACGGTCATGAAGGTTTATAGTAAAGAACCAAACTATAGCATCACTGTTTTCAAAAATGTATGCACCAGCCCACCCTAGAAAAACCTATAAAAACAGGCAATTAAACAAAGAGAAACGTGATTCGTGCCCTCGAGGGTGCCATGTTGACATGGAATGAATGGGAGAGCGGAGATTCCTCAGGGAAGGGGTGGGGTGGGGAAGAGACCCTACCTTCTTCAAAAGCCTGCCGACCTCAGGGAAGCATGCGTGGAGGAACAGCCGCTGCGCGCTCGTGCTTTTGTTCAGAATGGATTTGGGATTTACAGCAAAGCTTTCGGACTTACCTTTGTACAGACAGCACTGCACACATCAATTTAACCATTGCTCTGTGCCCCGTCACTAGTGCCAATGACCCAGTTTCCCCAGGCTGTGTACGCTTTCTCTACCTCGTAGTCAAAAGCTGTTCCTCGGGCATTAACTCACCGCCCCCCTAAGGCTCCTATTTGAGTTTCCGAGTTTCAGCTGGTGTCACTGACACCAGGTGGTTTTTCAGAAGAGCATAATGCGGATTTGGGGCTGTCCAGTAATCGCGGGACTGAAAACCTCCAAGTCTCCGATCCACAAGGGAAATCTGAGGCTGTCTGCCCCCTAAATAGTAACCTCAGAAACCCTAGGCTCAGAACTGACCCGACGGCACTGGGTTTTGGAAGGCTCAACGCAGACGTTTTTAATAGGCTATATTATTTGTTCAGCTTTAAGAGGACTTCAAGGGATACTTTGGAGTTTCTCTCTCAGGCCAGTTGTTCCATGGTCCATCTACCCTCCATGGCTCCAGATATTCTACAGTACACGCGATGTTCTCTTATCTCCCCCAACCCTGTCCTTTCTGATCAAGAGATTTTTTATCCCAATCCTCAATAGCGGTAGCCAGCCACCCTCCAGTTCTTCTGATCTCCTAGCAAAGCAGGCTGCTGCCGTTGTTTGTCAAGACAACTAAGCACACATTTCACAGCCCCCTGAAGTATTTCTGTCTGAAGATAAACATAACTCCTCCCGAGAGTTTGGCGAAAGGGCTTTTGATTAGATGTCATGTACGGCAGTCACTCGAGTCTCACATGCCAAGGGCTTTTCCTCTGGGATTCAGCAGGTTAGCCACCACTTGCGTGGTGACCGGGCTGGAAAGGCAGGAGCAACACTCACCCGGTAGAGCTGGAGCGAGGACCTGAGGCCCGTCAGGCTGGGCTGGCACGGCGTCGAGAGGTCGGTCAGGCCTGCGACGTTGTACAGCCAGTGGGTCAGCTCTTCCAGCTGGCAGCAAAAGGTCTGCTCAGACAAACAGAAGGGCGGGCGTTGGGTCTGACTGAACCGCTGGCTACCATGGCCAACAGGGTCGTTTTGGGGGTGTCGCCTTTCCCAAGCTCTCCTCCCTGAAGGCTTATCTCCTTCTTCCCCTGCCTCCCCCGCCAGAGCTACAGGCAGGGAGAGAGAGAGAGAGAGAGAGCGTGTGTGTGTGTGTGTGTGTGTGTGTGTGTGTGTGTGTGTGTGTGTGTGTGTGTCTGTCTGTGTCCCCAGAGGGGCATGTCTGCCACAGAGACCAGTCCTCGCTCAGCACCAGGCTGCTCCCCGCGCTGGTTCTGGGGAAATGAGAAGCGGGACTGGCAGAAAAGCAAACACTGCCACGGGGCTCGATTCCCAGTCGAGCCGTCCCTGTGGGTTTCGTGGCTCTAAATCTGCCTGGAACAGAAAGCCTCACCTTTCTGCCACGTCAGGAACAGGCGAGGAGCCCCCGGTGCTGCAAGGTCAGCAGTAGGAAACCACCCACCACTTCATGGGAGAAAAGGGGCTTCCTACTCCCGTGAAGACAGACCGTCTTGGACACCCACGGGGGCAGTTCTACCCTGTCCTGTAGGGTCGCCGAGTCCAGAACGACTAACAGCAGTGAGGGAAGAACAGGTGGGTCGCGTAAAGGAGGGTGTGTGGCTGACAACTGTTGAGAATGGCGGTGTCATGCCCATCATGTTGGAGAGTCACACTGCACTTGACTGGATGGACCAACACCATGCGGTGTCGAGGCCGCCACTCCCCTCGGCTTAGCCCAGTGTTTACTAAGCGTGTCCAGACACGGGGTGTTCTCTGTGCAGGCACTGACACTGCTCAGGTCCTCAGGGGGAGCAGTGGGAGGGGGCCCTGTGGTGGTGGCCAGGTATGCAGACAGCCTGCCTCGGGTTGCTGTGTGACCTTGGGCAAGTTACCTAGTCTCACCAATGGTGCAAGGCCCCTACAGGGGTGGTGAGGCCTGAATGAGGCAAAGTAGGGCTGGGTACACATCACGGTTCGGGCGGCAGGAAGAGATGGGCCACCTCTCTGCAGGGCATCTTACCTTCACACACTGCATAAGCGATGCTTCTCCCTGCTCGCCTTCTTCCCCCGGCTGCCGCCCGGCGGCATCCCAAAGTAAGAACGCCGGCCGGTCCAGCCTACTCTGGCAGGAGGGGCGAGATCTCAGCTGTCCAGAGGGCACCCCCGGGGCCAGGCTGCTCAGCAGACTGCCCTTCCCTGCGGTCTCTCGGCGGGCCCGGGTCACAGGGTGCAGGAAGCCATGGTGATGGGAACCCGAGTCCCGGGCTCCTGGGGCCACAGCCCCGGAGGGAAGCTGGCTGTGGCTGGAGTGTGAAGGGAGGGAAGCTGTCCCATCACTGTCCGAGATGTCCAAGGAGCTCTGTCCTTCAGCTACCCCTGGGGCCAGGGGCGCCAAGGTGGGAAAGGAACCAAGATAGGCAGCCAAGCCAGACACCTGAGTCAGCCGAGAGGGCAGGGCCAGAAACTCATCGTCTCCGTCCAGCTCCTCTTCGGCTCTGCAAGCAGGCACCACGCGGGGGGTGCTCGGGACGTCCGGGCCGGCGCCCTGTGCCCTGTCTGGCAAGGAGGGCCACACTCCGCCCCGTGTCCTCAGTGTGGGTGAGCCCCCCTCGGGCTGGGTGACCCTCAAGGCTGGTGCGCTGCTTGGCCAGGGAGCAGCCCTCCTGCCTGGGGCTCTGGGGGTGGATGCAAGATGGCCACAAGATGGCAGCCCCACGCTGCCTGCCTTTGGGGACACCTCAGAGGGCCAGCACCTAAGGCTTGGTTCCTGGGGCCCGGAGAGCAGCAGGGCCGAGGCCCCTGCAGGTGGGCGGCTGTAAGCAGCATGTGTAGGTGACTTCAGGGTACTTGCAGGGGAGACAGAGAAGCTATCGAGGTCTACCCCGGAGTCCTGCAGCACAGGGTCAGTCAGCATGTGGCTGTCGAGGTGCTGTGGGGGCCTCAGGGGATATGTGTAGTCAAGCAGGTCCTCGTACTCTTTGTTGGGGTTCCAGAGGGGGGAGCGGCGGTCAGGGGAGGGAGGCAGGGAGCCTGGCAGTGCACAGGCCCAGTACTCAGCCTGGAAGGAGAGGCGCCGCCTGCCCAGCTCGGCAGCACCTCCTGCAGAGGACATGGGTTGTGGTGACCAGTGACGCGGAGGCCCTGGCCCCACCGCAGGCGGGGGTGACTGGGGGACGGCCAGCTCCAGGGAGGCCGAGGCCTGTGCGGGAGAGCCACTCACAGGAGGCTCTGCCTTCTCTTGGCCACTCTGCAGACTGGGGCTCGGGGACGAGGTGGAGAGAGGGCTGTGGCTGGAAAGCTGGGGGGCAGTGGTCCCGGGGCTTGGCCCGGGTGCCCACCCTGACGAGACAGGGAAGCCTGAGAGGTGAGTCTGCGTGCTGAGGTCTAGCGCCCGGGGGGACTCCACTGCGGAAGGGTCATCGTTGGTATCGGCATCACGTCCTGAGCAGGGCACCGTGGATCTGGGGACGTTGCGAGCCTGGGGTAGCTCCCCAAGGGCAGAGACCTTGGTCTCCTCCAACTGCAGGGAGAGGAGAGAGAAAGCCCGCCCACCACAGGTGAAGATGATCAAACCGTGGCTCCATCTCAGGTGACGTGGTCAGGGCAGTGAACTAATAACCACTTCTCTTTAGTGCCCCCCAAAGGAGTGGGCGCGGCTGCGCAGATACAACAGCGTGGAGGTCTCTAACTTGGGGACGGATCAGGCTTGCCATTTCTCTCCCAAGGCCACAGACCCCAAGACCTATTCTGGACTAAGCTGAGCCACACTGCTGCTCGGTCTCAACATGATTTCTGGGGCTATTTGGGGGGCAGGTGCGCATCCACTCTCCATGTCTCCCTTTAGTCCAGAACCATGGACGTTTGAGACCCTGTTCTACAGCCCCCGATTCTGAGGGTTCTCCCCCAGAAATCTTTGGCACTGGGTCATGGTAGCACCATTAAGGCACCAGCGAGTTCTTTCAGTCTCATGGGAAAGGATTCGCTGTGCATCACCCATCTGTCCAACACAAGCTCATGCTCACAGGAGGCGGGATAGCGGAGTGGGTAAGGGCATGGCTTTGGAACCACATGGAGCCGACATCAACACCCCCCACCCCCATCCCCCTGCCACTTGCTAGCTGTGCAACTTTGAGCTGCATCTCCCTCTCTGGCACCTTGAGGATAAAAGCAGCCCCGCCTCATCGGGGAGTGGGGATTATGTGCACTCGTGAGTGTGAAACCACACAAGAGGAGCTCAATAAACAACGGGCTGTATAAGAAATACCAGACTCAGGTACTAAATGGGAAACAGCCCATTTGTGTGTTTGCTTATTTACCTCTGGCCTTGCAGGTGCCTGGGGCCTCCCAGCACCCCTTGCTGCCAGGCAGGGTTGTCTGGCCTGCACTGCCCCCAGGCTTTCATACTGGAGAGTTCCTGGCAGGCAGCCAAGGACACCAGGAGAAGAGCAACACCATCCACAGGAAGGGCCTTGGCAGGCGGGCACAAGGGGCCATCAGGAGTGGGAGGGGCAGACCAGTCAGCGCCCTTCCATTACAAACAAGGCCACAGAGCCCCGCCCCAGCTGTCTCCACTGGGTGCTACCTTGTAGTCTGGGAGTCCCGTGGAATTTGCCTTGCCAAGGGGCAGTGCACCCTGGGAGCCCTGGGGAATAGTCGCCTTAGGGGCCCTCTACACCTGACCCCCATGTCCTCTAGCCCCCAAGCCTAGCTCCCCACCCCTCCGGGCAGCAGGCTGTTGACCATGGCATCCCCACTCCCTGCCAGAGGGCAGGAGATACTGAGGGCAGAGGCCTCTCTGGGCCCAGGCTCCTGCCGCTGCCGTGTCAACAGCAATCACATTTCCAGGGCTGTCCACTGAACCCCTTTGCACAGCGGGCGGGAGATTGAGAAAAAGGGGTACCCACCTGGCCTCCGACGGAGTGCAGAAAGTGCCCAGGCCGCATGCTAGGGGCAGGCTTAGACCCACCAGCTGCTGACTCTTTGCTGGCGCAGCTACCCTGAAGCAGGAGGGTTCCCGTGGGGCCGCCAGGGTCGGCATTGGCCCAGCAGGTCGGGGCCTGCGACCCCTCTGCCGGCCACCCTGGGGAGGCAGGTCCTCCCTCGGCCTCCAGGCGTGGGGGCTGCTCCCCGCTCACTGGCCCCAGAGAGCCCATGTCCTGCTCCCTGCAGCTCCACTGCCCGTAGGGCCAGGTCTTGGCCTTGGAGGAAGCCTCCCCCTCGGCCTTCTCTTCACCCAGGGCCATCGAGCCGTTCCCCGTCAGGGCCCGGGTCTTCAGCTCCTACAAAGCAGAGGCAGGAGAGGGGAGGGGGTCAAACTTCTGCACCAGCGCCCAGGAAACTGCACTTTTTAACAATCATGGAAAACACGCTTTGTTCACAGGAGGGAAGGAGGGCGAGTGGAAGGGCCAACGGACAGGGCGGCCCCTTCTTCACAGGGGCACTCGAGTCCCTGTCTCCTTGGTCACCAACCCCTCAGAGGTGACCCAGGTCCACCATGTTTTGTTCTCGTTTCGACAGTGGTGGGACTGTCCCCAACAACGGGTGGGTCACCATCGAGTCATGGCTGAAGTCACCTTTTTGGCCCTGCCCCTTTGACCCAGCCCCACCCAGTGTCCGGCCCGGCCCTGGTTCTGTGTTGCAACGCCTCCTTTGGCAGGCGGCATGGGCCTGGCTCTGACTCCTGGGCTCTCGGGGGAACAGCAAGTCGGGGGGTGCTCAGTGCAGCCCCGCAAGGATGCTCCCGGCCATGCCTGCCTCGGGAGGCAGGATGCCCTCCCAGCGCGGAAACCATGGCCCAAGAGCTGTGGGCTCCCCGAGGGCAGCCAGTACCACAGCAAGATGGGCACTGCGCTTCACGCCAGCCTCGATTATGCTGAGCTCGGGCTTGGGGACTCAGGTATTGACAGGTCATGTCCAGTGTGCGGGTGTGAGACCGAGGGAGGGGGTAAACCATCCCCAGAAATACAGCCGTACCCACAGGGACAGCCTCCGGGATAACGGGGGCCCCAGGGAGGGGCTCAGACTTCACCATGGCAAGGATGGCCCCCAGGGCTACGCATGGTTTCATTCTGTTTCAACGGCCCCTAAAGGGGAGCAACAGAGGAAGCCCACCCACAGGTCGGTGCAGCGGCAAGGACTGCTGGCAGAGCTCTAGGGAGGTAGCCAGGGAGCCAGAAGCTAAGGAGACTGACCGGTTCTGGAAGGGGCTGGAGGACCCTCTTCACTGAAGATGCCCACAACCGCTCGGTCTGCACTCTGGTCAACCCGGGCAGAGATACACTCCCTGCCCCAGAAATGCAAAGAGCAGGTTCTGGTAGCAGCAGAGCTAAGCTATGCTTATCTCCCACGAGATGCACGGCCCGGGCCCGAGACGGCACAGGGTTCACATACAGGAGGGCCCCTCACCCTGCCTGATGGGCACCTCAAAGCTGCTCGGCCCTCCACTCAGACTTGAGCTCACTTCCCATACCGTCACAGGCAGCAGGGAGCGGTCAGGGGGAAAAAACCCTTTCTTGGCTTTCTGGACAGGGAATACCAGCCGTTGGTTCACATAACGCACTGCCATCGTAAGTCTTCCTCAGTCCTTGTCCGCTACTCTGCCGCAAGATGAATCAAGGCTTGGAGGGCATTTGTGCCCGGGGCCTGGCATGTGCACGTGGGAGCCTGAGATGGAATCAGAGTACAGGTGAGCTGACAGCCCGACAACCAAATCCACTGCCGTCCAGCTGATTCCGACTCAGGACGACCCTAACACAGGGCCACGGAGATGGTACATCTTTGCAGACAGCTGCCTCTCCCTCGTGTGGTGGCCAGTAGGTTTGAACTGCCAATCTATTGATCAGCGTCCACCACCTAACCCCCAGGTTCCCTGGGTAACATCAGACAAAGCAGCAAGGAGCTGAATGGAAGGTAAAAGGCAATCACATTTCAAATTAATTAATCAGGCACAAGATGTGCTGCCAGATACTCGCACAAAAACACCCGCTGACTAGCATTTACCTCCCGTGCCCTGAGCGACACGCAGACCCCACAATGCTTAAGTAAAGGGAGAAGACAGCTTGTTCGGAAACCTGCTTTTTCTCCTCACAGAATATCCTGGCGAGGGGCCCTGATCAATAGACAACCCTCTTTCTTTTCACTGCCGAGTACTCTAGTCCACTACGGACGCACTGCAGTTTACTTCACCTAGGGGTAGTTGGTCATTTCCAATCTCTCGCTATTACCAACAGTGTCTCAAAGTCCAGACCATTGCCTGGTGTGCCGGGATACCCGCAGCACCCCGTGCAATCAAGAGAACAGCGGAGGCAGGTGCAACTTATTTCCCCTCAAACCACCTGCCTCTCATAGTCACTGGTACTTCTCAAGGCGGAAGCAAACAAACCAAGCAAGAAATCAGATGTCTGCCAATCTAAGTTCAATTGATCAATGGTGGCTAAGGCTTAAACGGCACGGACAGACAGCATGCCTGGTGAGCGAGCACAGGTGAATGCTGCTTGCTTGCCACCACACAGGGGCCGCCTTACAGACCCCGTCTGGTTCATCTCCAGCGTCTCCCCTTTCATGCGAGGCCCTTGGGGAAAGGGCCCATGCCGCTTTTGTTTCTTGGCCGACTGTCCTGATCCTGAAAGTCTCATGAGAAGGCACCGTGCAGACGGAAGGCCACCGCACTCCGCCTGGCGGAGAAAAGGGGAGGCACATGGAACTTTGACATACGTTGCCAAGCAGTCCTCCGGTGGGGTGGGGATCAATTTCACACTCCCCATCACAACACGCGAGAGTGCCGGGCTCCCAAAAGAGGTGGTCACCCTTCTCCCTTTATAGTTGTGGGCTCCCAGAGATTCAAATCCAGGAGGACTGACACCAGGACCCAGGCGCTCCTGAATCAAGTTACAAAGGACAGGATGGAGAAGACTGACAGAGGGCCCGAGGCAAGTGAGGCCACAGGCTGAAATATTCACGGGCACCACCGCAGTCTCCCTGAGGCCCTTTAAGGAACTGCAGATGAAGACGTTTAACAGTGGGTTGTTTTCACAGGGAGCCCGGTGCTGCCGTGGCTAAGTGCTCAACTGCTCCCTGAGAGGTCAGTGATTGGGGCCCACCTCACACGCCACAGGAGCAAGACAGAGAAGTCGGCTTCCAGGAAGAGTATACAGCCCTGGAGACCCTACAGGAATAAGCTGGGCCCAGGAACCAGATGTGTTAGTCCGCGTAGACTAGAGAAACAAATCCAGGGAGACGCGTGTGTGTGAAAGAGAACTTTCTATCAGAGAGATGTTGAGAAAACACCCTGGCCAAGCCCAGATATTAGCCCATATGTCCATTATCAGTCTGTAAATTCCTCTTCAGACACAGGCAACACACGCAATGACGCAGAATACAAGATCGTCACAGGAAAGTGGGTGCAAAGTCTTCAGGATCCAGTGGTGGTAGAAGCATCTCAGTGCTGGCAGGGTTTCCATGTAGCTCCTCCAGATCCAGGGCTGTGGCTCCATTAGGGTAGCTCCATGTGGCTTGTCAACAGGAATGTCAAGTGGAGTGTGAAGGTCTGGCCTCCAGTGAGCTATTTATCTCCTTAGCGCCTCCAAATGAGGTCATGAAGCTGCAACTTGATTGACAAGCTAAACTCCACCCCTTCACTCTTAATAGTCTCAAATTGACACCCGATTATGTAATTATCACACTGGATAAATGAGAGGCAAGCCTAAATCCATTCCATTTCTGACAGTTCCCACTGACTGGAACAGGGTCACGGCTGGCTAACTCCCCTTGCCCCCTCCCCTTTCTTCCCACTGATTAGAGGATGTGACCTTGAGACGGGACTGATTAAACCAATGCTGGGACAAGGGCCAAGAGCCATGGAGTGGATTCTGACTCACTGTTGTTGCGTGTTGTCCAGCCGATTCTGACTCATGGTTAGTGACCCCATGCATGGTTTCCAAGGCTCTACATCTTTTTTCTGCAGAGATTCGTGTGTAACACAAAGGGCTCACTGGTTTTTAAAGGCAATTCACAACCATTAGTTATACAGAGCCATTTCTCAGAGCTGCTCTTTCAAACTGAAACACCACGGTCAGGATGCTGCTGTCCAAACCGATCGTCCCACCCGCCATCTAGTTGGCACTTTCCTGCACACAGAGCAAGATGAAGACTCCGTGCTTCTGCTGGATACAGCTGGGTGGTGGCGGAAGTAGGGGGGGAGAGACCTGCAGCGGCGTGAGTTCCTGCAGTCCCTTCTTGTCCTAGGAAGATGAGCTCACGTCTGCCCGTCGCCCTAACCCCGAGGCTGGGTGTCCCTGCAGTCAGTCATCCCACTGCCAGTCTCTGTGTACTGCCTTCCCAGCACCCTGGTCCTCCTTTGCTTCCAGATCTCCCTGTGGCCGGGCTGCTTGTTTTACAGCCTGCAGATGCAGTCTTGGCCTTTCTCTGGCCATGTGCTCCGTGTCCAATGCTGGCCATACCTGGCCTTCACGGTCACAGTTGCCAGGCTTGGGGAGCCAGCTCCCATTACCTTAGCGTGCCTGTGCCACGTCGTCCCGAGCGAGATGGAAGGGTTTCATGAGATGAAGCAGAAGCTGTGAGGCTTCTTCCCTCAGGGTCTTTATCTCCTGGTCAAAACTCTCAGCCTCTTCCAAGCTAATCCACCTTGGTGGGGAGAGGTGCTAAGGCTCACGGGCAAGCTCAGCACCTGCTCGACCCCTTTCCACAGCAGACTTCAGGGTAGACCATCTGTGCTCCTCCTCGTGCCGGGGTCTCGCTCGTGCAGCCTGCCTCTGGGGTGCCCCACAGCGACGCTGGGCTAGGAGGAGCTAGCAGGGTTATTTTCAGCCGAGTTGTTCTTGGCCTGGGGCAGCTCAGACTGCCACATGATACCAAAGGCATGCTTTATCAAGCAGCTGACCAAGAGTGCTCCAGCCCACGGCACAGGATCCAGAGCAGGGTTGGGGCGGACTTATTTCAGGGCCAAGACTCCCGAAAAAGGCTGGGACCAACAGACACTTCCGATCTGTGGAGGCGACCCTGTCTAAATCTTCAGTCCGGCTGAACAAGTCGAGCTGTGGTAACCTTTCCTCAACCTGCCCCTGGAGGTCAAGTCTCTCGAACACCTGGACTATCTGGGAACCAGGACGTTCAGTCGCTACTTCCGCTCCATCCAGAAACTGTTTGTTGGCCTCCAATAGATTGGGGAGCCACGGCAGAAGAATTCATCTTCGGCAGCTGCCATCCTGAAAAAGGGAGGAAGGTGGAACACCTCTCTTCCGGGGCCAAGGGCAACATCAGTAGAGAACTCAGCAGGAGGAGTGAAACTGGAAGGAGCTTTGTGTGGCGTGGCCGGTTCACTGTTACTAGCAGAAACCACCATTCCGGCTCTTTTCCGGCTCCAGTGACCATTTCTATGGCCTTTTTGCCAAACAGCAGCCCATTGTGGACATCTGGTAAAAGCCAAGAAGCAAGCCCCTAGGTGCTGTTTTGCAAATGACTTCTCTTTGCTACTGACGCCAGGCTTGGAAGTGGCCCGGGGCTGAGCCCAGGTGTGGCAAGGCTGGAGAGCGAGCAAGCCAGCGTGCTTTGAAGCCTGTGAGGCAGGGGGCCTCCAACTCCAACTCTTTAAACAGGGGGCCAGTTCACTGTCCCTCAGACCCGTTGGAGGGCCGGACTATAGTTTAAAAAAAAACAGTGAACAAACTCCTATGCACACATCTTATTTTGAAGTAAAAAATAAAACAGCGCAAAAACACCCAGCAGGCCGGATAAATGTCCTGGGCAGGCCACATGTGGCCAGCGGGCTGTAGTTTGAGGACGCTGCTTTAAGGCATTCGTCTAACTTCCCAAGTCGTTTGTCATTTTCTTGTCTGTACGCTGGATAGTTTCCAGATGATCTAAAACTCTACTCCGGGGAAGATGTGGGCATCAACCAAGGCCGTCATTTATTTGAAGGCTTTTTCAAGTGAATCCTATTGAGAGACTTCCGGTTTTCCGTCGTGGTGCCATTACAAGACCCACCTGAAGCTGATGAGTGGCGCAATCCAAGCAAGAACCCTGAGATGCTTCAAGCAAGGCAGGAGAGGGCAAAGCCAAGATTAAAGGAACTTTTTAGCGAACTGAGTGCTCCGGTCGTCTCTGCGGAGAAAGACTGTTTTCGGCAAGTCAACCAGAGAGAATCCCTCCTCTTCCAACTCCGAGCACAGACCACTAGTTACTCCAGGGTCTGGATGGATTTTCTCCAGACCGCGGGCCGTTTCCCAGGGAGCCCTTCCTGTAGCTACCCCAGCTCTGCCACAGAAACAAGTCAGTTGCTAAGGGCGTGATTTTTTTGTCAGTGCTCTGCTGGGCGGTGATTGGCACCTGGGGCACACCAGAACAGAGCTCCCTGAGAGTGCTCATGTCCTCACACCCTCCGCCTCTATCACGGAGCCAAGGGCCCACATCTCTCCAGCCCTGCCCCTTCCCAACACCGCAGATACTACGGTGTCTCTCAGTGACCATATACTGTATCCGTCCCTGTGGTAGTTACATAATCTGGTGTCAATTTGGGACTTGAGAGTATTAAGAGTGAAGGGGTGGAGGCTATCCACCCTTCAATCGGGTCATAGCCAATGAGGCCTGTGTGTGGGCATGGCCTTCTCCTGAGGATTCTGGGAATTCCTCTTTTGGAGAGAATCTACTGACAAGGCTGACTCCCTTCAAGACATCCCTGAGAAGCCACATGGGCCTACCCTGATGGAGTCAGAACCCTGGACTGGAGAAGTCATGTGGCGACCCCTGCCAGTGCTGAGATACTTACAACGCCACAACAAGACTTCCTACCCACTGGCCCGTGCTCTTCCTGCGTTTGGCGTCATTGCATGTGTTGCGTGAGTCTGAAGAGGACTTTATAGATTGGTATTGGAATATGGACTAATATTGAACTTAAGGACTTGATCTGGGCTGGGATGTTTTCTCAATATTCATTTGCCATTGTATGTAAACCTCTTTCTTATACACATATGAGTATATCTATGCATTTTGTTTCTCTAGTCTACCCAAACTAACACAGGCACCTAACATTAGTCCCCAGAACCTGCAGGCATGTATGACCTACCAGATAAAATTAGGACTCAGCTAGGCTTGACTCACCCTCCTGCTACAGTAAAAATACGCTCACACATTAAGTATGCAGTAACACTAACTGCCCCACCTGGCCTTTCCAGGGATCTACTGCACTGGCCTCTAGCAGTCCCGTCCCAGTTGCGAGAACTGCTCCCCTCACTCGAAGCTCGGTTCTGGGAGGGCAGCACCTACCACCGCAGGCCAGTGGCTGTGCTCCCGGGGTGAGCGGGAGCTGTGGAGCCAAAACCTTGATTTCCCAGAGGGCCACCAGTATATACAATAACACCACTAACACACAAAGGTAAAATCTGGTCAGGAAGTCAGACAAAGCGGCTGTCCCTGCCACGTGGAAGAGGTGGAAAACACTACATTCCAGTGTGAATCCCAGACTTTCCATGTGCCCCACACCCCAGGCCCCAATCCTCTGGCACCATGGAATGGATTGACTCAGACCCTCCATACGGTTTCTGAAGTGAAATTTTTCTGCTCGACAGTCGGAGGAGTGATTTGAACCTCCGACCTTCAGCTTAGTTGTCGAACGCTTTCCCATCAGCGCCACCAGGGCCCCAGCACCAGAGGGGCTGAATCAGAATCCCGACTTTAATAAGATGCTGGGCATCACATTTCAAACTGGCTCAACCCCTGGGAGGCAAAGCAACTGTTTGACAGCAAGGAGGCCGGGGGAGGCCAAGGTGAGGGCGAACTGGTTCAAAGCCCTTGGTGAAACCCTGCGCGGCCAGGCTGCGGGCAGACTTCTGAAGGAACGTGTTGATGTGAGACAAGAGCTTGAAGGCAGCAGGCAATCCAGGTGTGGGAGGCAGTACGAGAGGGTCTAAGACACGTGTGGGGGAAGCCAACAAAGGGGGCAGTCACAAGAGGCCCGGCCTGGGGAAGATGCCCCAGCCAGCTAAGGCTGGAGAGAACAGCAAAGGACACCAGCTGCCTGGCCACCTCCTTCCCTTGTGGGCAGGCCACCCCGAGCGCGAGCGCT